AGTCCAGACTGTGCCCATCAGTGCAGATCACTCCTATTCGAATAATTCACTTCATTGGTTCCTCTGACCATAAGACGCCCTTTCTTAAATCCCTGTCCTGGGTCTCTGAGCACTCCAAGACCCTGAGCAGATGTTTCGTCTTTACCTTCAAAGCCCTCTGTGGACTTGGCTGCCTTTATCTCTGTTCTCATATCCCAATTTATCCCTGCCTAAGATCTTCGGTCTGCCCCCCTTGGCCATCAAAAGGTCTCCTGCTCCCTCAGACAACTTTGCTTTTCCCCCTTGCCTCCCCTTATGCTTGCACTGCCTCTAGAGAGTAGCCAGGGAGATGCTCTCCCTCCCTCCCTCCTAGAAACCCACCTTTTCTGCAAAAGGGCCCCTTAGTCCAATTCGTAGTCCTAGTCCCATTTACTCTAGCTGCCTTCTTTTCCTTCACTGCCTCCCCCTATGTGCAATTTAGATTGTAAGTGCCTTGGGGCAGGGATCTGTCATTTTGTGGCTATGCTGCGTACCAATGGGGCTACTTTACTGTTGTGACTGTTCGTAACAAGAAGCCTTGCTCACCTTCGGCATCCGGAAGTGTCCGATCTTTATACAGATTTGTCAAGAAAAGGCTGTTGATGAGGGTGGATTTTCCCAGGCCGGACTCTCCTGTGGAATGAATGAGTGAGAGGGAATAAACTGATCCTTCTAGAATTCTTGGGGTCAGATCAAGCCACGCACTGGAAGATCCATGACTCCCTATCTAAGGTATTGTTATGGCAGTTTCAGGGACCCCAGTTCATATTAAAGCTGTGTTGTGGAGCACATTGGTGGGGTAGATTGAAGTCTTCCTTCCCTCCTCCCACTCTATTTCACAAGCCCAAACCTCTCTCCTCTCCTCCCAAGCTACAATTTGCCCAACGGGGGAAAATGTGCAGGCAACACTGAAGCAACCTGCATGTTTCCCGAATGGCTGCACCAAACAGTGCAAGAGGGAACGTTTTACCTCCCCTCCCCTCCCCAATGCAAAGTGCTGGAGATCCACCTACAAATCTTCCAGTGTCTCATGTGGTTTGACCTGCCAGGGCATCCGTAGGGAGTTCATGGCCAATAAATACAGAGGTGAAGCTGGGACTCTGTGAAATGTACCTTAGATTCCCCCACCCCTTGTTTGGGAGGAGAATGTAGCCAAAGGAGTCAGGGGAGAGGGCCTGCCCGGCAGGACTCCTGAGTTTCTGCCCCTCCCATACCAGTCTCCAAGTGGGTGTGACCCCCCATGATGACATTTGTGGGAAAAGCAGTCCAATAGGTCCATTGAACAAATACTTAGAGGGTGCCGATACCACTCTGGCTTGGGAAATTCCTGGAGATTTAGGGATGGAGCCTAGAGAGGGCAGAGTTTAAGGCGGGAACTCAGGAGGAATGTGGTGCCAGAGAATCCGTCCTCCCACGTGGCCATTTCCCCCATAGAAACTGATCTTTGTAGCAATGGAGACGTAATTCCAGGAGAAAATGAGGCCCCCACCTGGAGGATGGCAGTCCTAAACACAAAGTATATTCGCCTTCAACTACCAGACTATGCAAGGGGCTGTAGTGGCTCAAGTGGTTAAGGCGCTGAACTGCAGGCTGTAGAAGGTCGGTAGTTCAGCAGTTCGAGACCCGGGTCTGCCGCATGACGGAGTGAGCTCCCGTCTCTAGTTCTAGCTCCTGCCAACCTAGCAATTCGAAAGCAAGACATTGCAAGGAGATAAATAGGTACCACTTTGGTGGGAAGATAACAGCATTCCGTGCGCCTTGGTGTTTAGTCATGCCGGCCACATGACCACGGAAACGTCTTCGGACAGCGCTGGCTCTTCGGCTTTGAAACGGAGATGAGCACCGCAACCCTAGAGTCGGATTCGACTGGCTTTTGAACAAGGGCACCTTTACTTTACTTTACCAGACTATGCAAAAGGCTACAATGAGGAGGCACCATTTTGTACAGCAGCATATTTGCAACCATGTACAAAAGGGACATAGGGGTAGAGAATCCGGATGTCCTGGGGATGTCTGGGATTTGCTCCCAGCAAGCTGGGAGGTTGAGGTTCATTACAATGAAGGCAGTGGGTATTTTAACACTTTACCTGCGACCATCAGAGTGAAGTCAAAGCCCTTCTTCACGGATTTCCTGTGGACTTGGCTGGGCAGGGTAGCAAAGCCGACGTAATCTTTGTCCTGTGGCATAGGGAAAGAACTGAAAGACCACCCCTCGGGCTGTGCTGTCCCTGGTATCCTGACACCCACTGCTTCTCCAAACCCAGGAGGGGGCGCAGAAACCAGGCCAAAGAGGCTGTTTTCTGGGTACTTACCATATCTGGCCTCTGGTTGTGCAGGACAGGACGGAGTGATGTCGGTGTACCTTGCCGTCTCTCAGTTTACCACTTCCTCTCGCATCGGGGAAACAGGAAGCCAGTCTTCACAGCCATCAACATCCCCCATTGGCTGGCTCACTTTCATTTCTAGTTTTTTTCTCTCTCTTCACCTGTGGGTGTTGCTGGTTTTAAGCGAGTATGCTAAAGTGCTGTACAGAATTTGGCTGTGTGTTGTTGCCGTTTCTGCCTATGCGCCTTCCTGCCTTTCCCTCACAATCATTGTACTGGACAGACATGTAAAGATTGTGTGTGCGTGCATGTGTGTAAAGTGCCGTCAAGTCGCAGCCGACTTATGGCAACCCCAGCATGGGGTTTTCAAGGCAAGTGATTGAGCAGAGGTAGTTTGCCATTGGCGTCCTCTACGGAGCCTTCCTTGGTGGTCTCTGTTCCAAGTACTGACCTCTGCTTAGCTTCCAAGACTGGGCTATGCCATGCCGCCTTCCTTCCCATGGAAAGATTATGGTGATTAAACGCTTCCGAGGAAATGAATTTTACTGCCAGAGTGCAAATGTACACTGGTCTGGTTCCAGGTTTTCATAAGCCCTGGGCAACGGGAGCTTGTCTCCAGGGTCTCAGTATGTGCTGTCTGAGCTGTTTCCTAAACTAGATGCTTGGGCTCAGATATGGGGCTCTGAGTAAGTTGTGGGGTCACAGCTAGGAAAGCCCTGCAGCACCCCCTGCTGGTCTTATTTCCCCAATGGTGAAAATAGCATTTATTTATTTATTTATTTCCCCAATGGTGAAAATAGCATTTATTTATTTATGTGCTTTTCTCCTGGGATGCAAAGTACCTTACACGGTTTAAATAAATAAGCAGAGAAAGAATGATAAACAGACATTAAAAGTTCAATAAAGACAATAAAAGCAATAAATTCTGATTAAAGCCTGTGGATTGTATATCCGCAGAGCAGGCTCAAAGCAAGGCTGAGCAGGCTATGAACATCTGGTCACACCCTGGTTTAACTTTTCCTGGAAACAGAAGGGGCAGCTCAGTTCTTATTGGGTTTTTTCCTGCCAAATTTAAGAGGTTTATAAGCCCACACAGATAATTTTAATAGGGATGGGGCTGTGGCTTGCCATCTCAATTATTTTTCCAGGCACCATTTTTTGATATTATGGATCTATTTTTCAAGTCTTTGAGATATTACTGAGGTCATGCCACATATAACATCTGAAAAGTCATCTCGGCCAGACAGGAAGTCAAACTGTGACATGTGATTTTTGACATCGAAAGCAACCCCTAATGTTCTTACAATGTTTCAATGAGGATGAACACATGAAACCGCATTATACTGAATCAGACCCTTAGTCCATCAAAGTCAGTATTGTCTATTCAGACTGGCAGTGGGTCTCCAGGGTCTCAGGCCGAGGTTTTCACATCTCCTACTGCCAGATCTTTTAACTGGAGATATCAGGAATTGAACCTGGGGCCTTCTACATCCCAAGCAGATGCTCTACCACTGAGCCACAGCCCTTCCCACCTACTAACCTACTTCACAGGGTTGAGCAGTGTCTACGTGTCATTGTTCTCATCTAATGCCAAAGAAAAAATTCAAAACTTTTTGTGTTGACAGTCAGCGACATATGCAGTTCTTCTCCTAGTTCTTCAACACGACTGGTGATTGTAGATGCAGATAAACTGACACAACTAACACAAGATGTCTTATCAGGGCACATTTCCTCCATTACTTTAACCATGAATTCTTAAACAAATTCACCACAGTGAATAGTCTACCACTCTCAGCAATGTAAAATATCATTGGCGTATAAGCTTAATTTATGTTCAGGTGCGTGGAGACTGAGATCAATTGCCCTCTCAGGACTGCTTTCATTCCATCCCATGTAATTTGGTGCGATGTGTCTTCTGGGTTATTTTCAAGCCAGTAATTTTTTAAGTTTTGAGATATTTGCAGTCTCAATTCTGGGTTTAATAAAATGGATTTGTTCAAAACCCACTTTTGGTCGGTTTTCCTATTTTCTGCCCATTTTGTAATGCAATTTGTGGGGTGATGTACAAGTCGTATATTAATATTTCAAATTTGTATATAGTTACTTAGGTGTCATGGTTGCCTTCAAAGGAGAAAGTTCACATCGTAGCTTCCTCTTGCTTGTTTGTCTGGACATGCCCATAGGTGTGTCTCGCTGCAATGTGCTGAGAAGCAGCCTCCCGCTGTCTTCATCTTGGGCATACAGGAAACGACCTTGATGTGCCACTGTGATTTTTCTTGGCATTATCCATCTGTATTTTATTTTCTGCTCACAGAGTCTCCATGTAGTTTTTCTAAGCTCTTGTCGAATCTTTAATGCTTCTGGTGGAAGATCTGGGAAAACAGTAATTTTTTCCTCTTGGTATTTAAGAAAGCCAAGTTCTTTTGTTGCATTTAAAACTGCTACCTTTTCTCTAAGATCTGTAAATTCTATTAGGATGTCTCTCGGGTAGCGTTGGCTTGGTTTTATTGGTGCTCCAAGTGTATACATCTTTAAGATAGAGGATTTGGCTTCCTGAGGTTGTACTATAGATGCTATCCAGGCTTGAATACTTTTGAAGGGTTCAGGGCCATCATCTGCAGATTCTTTGAAGCCTCTAAGTTTTAAATGGTGATACCTAGCTTCAGCTTCCAGTAGTAATACTCTGTCCTTCAACTGCTGTTGCTCCTGTTGCATGTTTTGGTTCTCCGTATGAAGTGTGTGTTCCAGAGTGGTTGCTGTTTCAGCTGTAGTCTTGGTAGTCTCCAGAGTCATCGCCAGTTGATTCAGCTGCTCCATCACTGGCTGTAAAACGTCTTCTATTTTGGTGGTGAATTTGTCCAGCATTGACTGTTCAAAAGACAATAATGAAGATTTTAACGTAGCTTGAAGAGTTTTCAGTGTTACAGGCTCGTCTAGCTGGTCTCACCTCTGGTTTTTATTGTTGGCGGCCATTTTGTTGGGTAGTTGGCCACATCCTTCGTCGCGCAGACCCGGTTCCGTCTGACGATTTTTTCCAGTTAAATGCCGGCCACCCACGTCTACACTGGCTTACCAGGTATATCTCTGCGTTGAAAGGTGAGGTTTCACTTGGTTCTAGGGTTGCCAAGTGCTTTTTGAGCCGCAGCGGGGGGACTCCCAGCTGGCGGCTGGAGTGCATGCGCGCACACACACCGCACACATGTCACCTGGAAGTGATGGGATGATGCCAATGTTGTGTCCGCTGACCGCCACCAGAGGCCAGCGCACACTCCTGAGCTTCAGTCCGGCACAACAATAGGGACTTGGATCCTAGTCCCTCCACTGGGGGAACCAATGGGACCGTGGCGGGAGATTCAAACCCGCCCATGGGACCCACTGTGTCCCCTGGTTGTGTATATAGGTGGCCTGCCGGCCGTTGTCCCCTGTCCTTGTTGTGTACCAATAAAGCGTGCTATGCACTACGTCGTTGTTTGTCGTTCGTCCACGCGGCAACCCACTACACAATAGCCGGGCATGCTGGGGGCGGGGCCACGACCATCCGAGGGAAAACCATAGAGTTTTCCCTCAGACGACCATGGCCCCGACCCCAGCGTGCTTGGTGTGGTTGCGTCACTTCCGGGTGACGTGCACGTCGGGGTGGGGTTCCCCCGGGGCCCGATCCACCGGCGGCAGGGAACGGGCCTCTGGGGCGGGGGTTTCCCCGCCCCCTGGGGGGACTTGGCAAGCCTACTTGGTTCCAAGGCTTTGAGAGGGAAAAAGGGCCGCCAACAACAGAGCGCCAAGTTTAGGCATCCATTTTGGAACAATCGGACACCATGCCCCCTTTGGTATAGTGGTTAAGTGCACAGACTGTAATCTGGGAGAATCGGGTTTGATTCCCCACTCTTCCGCTTGCAGCTGCTGGATGACCTTGGGCAAGCCATAGTTCCGTCAGAGCTGTTCTTGAAAGAGCAGTTCTCTCAGAGCTCTCTCAGCCCCTCCTACCTCACAGGGTGTTTGTTATGGGGAAGGGAAAGGCGTTTGTAAGCCGCTCTGAGACTCCAAGTGAAGGGCGGGGATATAAATCTGATCTCCTCCTCCTCCTCCCACCTTTTTTGGAAAAGCAGGCCGGACATCTCCTGTACCCACGGCACAAAGCGACTTTATCTTCCTTAGACTTCAACATGGTAATGCATGGAGAGGGGGAGTGAAAAAGCTGCGTGGTACGGGTGCCCGGGCTTTGCTGGCTAGCAAAGCACCCAGAATGTCCAAATTGCTAGTATGGAGGATGAGACCGAGGGGGTGCTGACCGAAGGTACCAGGAGACCAGAAGGAAAAAATGTTGCTATTGTGGTTTTTTGCAAGTAAGGGACAGAAAGAACAGCAGTAGATGGTGCCTCTTGAGGCAGGAAGACCAGTGTGGGTCTGAGGGACAACGCCTTGAGGGTGATAGGAGCAAACGAGCTGGTTGGAGAGCTGCACCGAAAGAGCTCGGGGGCCACATGTGGCCTGTGGACCACAGGTTGGGAACCCCTGCCTTAGAGAAAGGCTAGGATAAAAATTCAGTACATAGATTTACTTCTCTATAATTTAAACTCATTACTCCTTGACCTGTGGGTCAATCTGATTTCTTTGGTAGCATTGCTAGGAATTTTGAAAAAATTCTGAACATTTCAGTATTTTGGAAGTTAACTTATATAGCGATCATAAACTGTAAATATTTATAACATTGCATTTGCTGAGTTATGCAGAAACATGGATTTAGGTGAATATTTTGTAATGTTTTGGGGAGGCGTGTTACTAGTCCTCATGGGAGTGATCCATAGATAATTCACATTCAGCAGGCAGCAGAGCCTCCCCCCCCCCACCCCGGCCAGCTGTTTCCCTGTT